TTCATTGTCTTTCAGGTTTTTGTTTCCTACCTGTAAACTGAACTGGATCCTGAATTCTTCTAGTCTCCTCAAATATCTGCCTACAAATCTCCAAACTTAAAACCCAGAGATGTAATTTAGTGGGGGTATTAGGGCGCCCAGAGAACAAATGGTTTATTAAACCTTTAAGCTACAAATTGGGTGAAAAACAGTTAACCCATTCCTTTCTATACGTGCCAGAATGCCCTATTCCTTTGCTGGGTAGGGACCTACTACACAAATTAGGAGCCTCCATTTATTTGAAAGGAGACCAATTGGAGGTAAACATCCCCTCAGCCATTGGTTACCAGCTGATTATGCTCCTGACAAAATGGACTGAGCAAAAAGATTTAAAGGGAAATAGTGGAATTACCAGAGGTAAATCTCCGAGTTTGGGCCCAAGAGTGGGGCATGCTGTCCAAGCGAACCCCATGATTGTCAAACTAAAACCTGGGCAAAAAGGCCCAATGTTAAACATTATACTCTCAGATAGGATGCCCTAAATGGTATGGCCCATCATAAAAAAACTTGACCGATCAAGGCTCATCAGGCCATGCCAATCGGCATACAATACTCCAATCCTCCCGGTCAAAAAGCCAAATGGGGAATACCGGAGGTACAGGAGAACAACTAGAGTATGCTCTTCAGGTAGGGGAAATGGTGAAGGCGCTCACAGCTTATGGCAATGGTCCTGCCTGGCCCCATGGACCTGGCCCTCCAACCCTTCCAGCCTGGCAATTGGGTACCCTAAACTGCTCACGGCCCTTCCAAGAGGCACCTACAACTTAGGGTTATGTAAATAGTGATGACATCATCACAGACAGACCCACTAGGCTACTAGAAGAGTCTAATTGGTTAAATAAAAAAGACCAACCAGACCTACCAAAACAGATCTGGAGTGGGGTTAACCAGGCTCTTCCCAGCCTGATCTGGTTTCTACCACTTTTGCGGCCTCTGCTGGCTATTCTTCTTCTCCTCCTTGGACCTTGCATTCTAAACTGTCTGGTTTCCTTTGTTAGCAAAATACTAGAATCTATTCAATTCTAAGTGGTATTAACCCAGGGATATGAGAGGTTGGGAGTCCACCAGGTAGGACATACCAAACATAACTAAAAGTTGCTAGGGATAAATTCTGCTCCTCTATACAACATCCCTGGTCAGCTGGAAGTAGTTGTGGAAGACGGACCTTCATCCATTGCCCCTCAAGAATGAGGAGCAGGACCTAGTCAGGGAAGGGGTTTTGTCACCCAGAGAAGTCCCTGAAACATTTCCCATGTCTAATGCTTTGTTTTTAAGTTGTGCTTATAGGAACCAAGGCAGAAAATTGCCAGATGGCCAAACGGCAGAACCAGCCCAAAACAGAAAGGTCCAAGATGGCAATAGGGTGCCATGCACAAAAGGAAATGAGCAAGAAGGGAAGATGTGTCTTCCTGGGCATGTCTCAAGTGCCCCCCGCCCCAAGCGATGATGCAGAGACCCCCTCCCCCTTCACATCCCATAAGAACCCTGCTCACCTTCCCTTAGGGCAGAAAGTTTTAGAGCACGAGCTCTCCTTCTCCATATTCCTTGATCAACGAATCAAGTTTCTGCTCTGCTATTCCAAACCTGGTCTCCTTCTATTGGCGCAAGCAGCTCCAGGCAAAAGGACCAGTTTGCTGGTCACCAGTCCCTTAGGGCTTGTTTTTAAGATGGGACAAACTTGAGGCTTGAGACTGCTGAAGAATGATGCTACACACGAGAAATTCAAGTTCAGTTCATCCATTCTTACAGCAAATACTCTAATGTGCTGAGATCATTCTGTACCAGTTACTTGCACCTGGTGATCAGGCAGGTACATAGAGCAGAGCCTCCAAAACACACTCTGGTGGTAGAGAGTGGGGGCAGGGAGTGGGGAAGATAGCAAAACCCCAGAGGGAACTGATGGGAAATGGAGAACTCGGAGACCTGGGAAGCCTCTGCCTCTGCCTAGGAGCAAGCTGCTCTGTCTTCTGCTTTGTGGAACTATCTCTGAGATTCCATATCCTCTGCCATTAAAGAAACTTATATCTTCTGTGTCTGTTGGTGGGGTCTGTCAATCACATGACTGTACTATCGTGACAACTGCACACAACTGGAAATTAAAAACAAACAAAAACCCCTCACTCAAACAGGTTTAACATGAGTAAAGGGAATTTAATGCCCCATGTATCTGAAATATTCAAAGGTATGTTTGATTTCAGGAAAGGCATGAACTAGTAGCCCAGAAACATCACCAACAATCTGATTTTTGTGCCATGTTTCTACCTGCCTACCTCAGTGTCAGCTTCATTAAAGGATGATTCCTTATGATCCTAAAATTGCTCAAATGCTCCCAAGTTCCATGTTTCCTCATTAATAACAGCAGGAAAAAAGAGAACATATTCGTTCCAGCATTTCCATAAAAAGTCCTGAGATTCAGTCTAATTGCAACAGCTTAGGTCACATGCCCACCCCAGATCCAAACTGTTGCCAAAGACTAGCTTAGATGAGGTCATAAGTGCCATTCTCATACCCAGGTTGGAATTATTCCCCCTGGAACCAACCCAAACAGAAATCAAGAGTCATGTATGCTGGGAAAGCATGAAGTCCACTACAGATGATAACAGAAACCAAAAAGGTAATTTTCCTTCTCCCTCTGGCTATGTATTTGGCATGAGACTATACCATATTTCATTTCAAGAATGTTCAAAGCAATGCTTAAAATAGCAGAAAAATTGAAGCCACTTTAACGTTTAACAATATAAAATCAGTTAAATACTTCACACTACATCTATAAAATAAAATCCTATATCAGCAGTTCTCAACTTCCTAGGTCTCAGGACCCTTTTATAGTCTTAAAAATTATTGAGGACCCAAGAGCTTCTGTTAATGTGGGTTATATCTATCACTATTTACCATTTTAAAAATTAAAACATAATTTCAAGAAAATATTTATTAATTTGTTTAAAAATAACAGTACTAAGTCCATTACATGTTAACATGAATACATTTTTTTGAAATCCTCCCCACCCCCACCAAACAGTGAGAAGAATGGCACTATTGTCTGGTTTAACAGAAGTGGCTGGATTCTCAGATCTGCGTCTGCATTCAGTCTGTTCTGATACGCTGTTTTGGCTGTAGTATATGAAGAAAGTCTGACCTCAAACAGGTTTGTAGTTGGAAAAGAGAGGAGTATTTTAAAGCCTTTCCAGATAATTGTAGACATTCTTCTTTGAAACTATACCAAAACTGGACAAGTGTTAGTTTAGCGTGTAATCTAATTAGTTGCAGTGTGTAATCTGAAACTATACAAATGAATTTTTTCATACTCTGCTACATACATTAAAATTCATTGGTCCATTGTGTGCTTCAAATGGATCTTTTACCCATGCATGATTTTATAAGCTCACGTAATAGTCATCCAGAAAATACCGGTTCACGGAGTTATGTAGATCTTCTAAATGTTGACAAAAATAATTATCTACTGTAAAAAAAAAATTTGTTAATCCTACCCACCTCATTAGAAAAGTCTTTATGTTATGGGAAACTGTCAAACTCCTGGTAGCAGACACAAGTTTTCCAAAATTATAAATTTTGCTAGAAATCTCAAATTTTATCATTGGCAACAAATAACCACCAGTTTTCCTTGAAGTGAGAGGCTGACTTCGTTCCATTTTGAGAAAATGTCCACAAATGCCCAAGTCTGAATCACCAATCATAGTTTTCTATCAGTCATTCTTTTCACAGCAAAATGGTATTCTACGAAAAAAAAGCAACTAATTCAATTCACAACTCAATCAGTCAAATGAGTGCTTTTCCTGAAGATGAACATCATACTCTGGTACGTAGAAGAGCTTCATGCATCCTCGCCATTTCAGCACACAGACTATTGCAAAGATGTGTGTTTAAGATTGAGAACTGATAAAACCAACAATTTAGTGTCATTATCTTGATTTGCACCAAAGTACCAGGAGTTTTACTCACTATTGCTTTGCACCCTCAATGCAAATATCAACACAGTACAAAAGGCAAATAATATCTTGGTTTTATGAAAATAGTTTTGCTTTTGCAGATCCCCTGAAAGGGTCTCTGGAACTCCTAACAGTCTGCAGACCACACTCTGAAAATCACTGTACTATATAAAGCTACTAAAAAAGATTCTGTGGAAGACTATCTAATGACAGGGAACAAAACATGTTCAAAAATATATTCAAGTGAACTATAAGTAACAAAAAATATGTTTATGTTTGACCCTTTAATTCTATTTCTAGAGACGATCTGAAGTAGAAAAAAATGACAAAATCACCAATAGAAAAGCAATTATATAAAGTATAGGATATTCACCAAATAGAATAGCATGTAGCTGTAAAAAACAATGAGATAGACCAATATATACTGACAGAGAAAGGTCTTCACGACATATTAAGTAAAAAAAGTTTGTTGCAGAAAATTATATAGCATGATCTCATTTGTGTTAAGAAAAATAAGAATGTATGCATAGATACTCATGCAAAGGCATGTAAATGCAGAAGAAATGACTAAAGAACTACATGTCATATATTTATTTATTTATTTATTTTTTAATTCAATGTAAGCCTTTTGTGAAGTGTATTATTTTTTATTTTATTTTTTTTTTTTTTTTGAGGAGATCAGCCCTGTGCTAACATCCGCCAATCCTCCTCTTTTTTTGCTGAGGAAGACGGCCCTGGGCTAACATCTGTGCCCATCTTCCTCCACTTTATATGGGACGCCGCCACAGCATGGCTTGCCAAGCAGTACGTCGGTGCGCGCCCAGGATCCGAACCAGCGAACCCCGGGCCGCCGCAGCGGAGCACGCGCACTTAACCGCTTGCGCCACCGGGCCGGCCCCTACATGTCATATATTTAATATGAGTCACCTTCTAGAAAGGGGATGGGAATGGGATGTGGGGGAAATGGGAATATGGGGGATTTTTGTGGTTTAAACATAGCTTGAAAGTTTTACAAAGAAAATTCATTCATGTATTATTCATGTAACAAACTAAGAAAGGAAATGAATATAAAAAGGTTTGGCAAGATACACAAAAAGGGTTAACTGATTATCATAAACTACTGGTGATTTCTATTTTCTTCTTTTTCACTTATCTGGATTTTCTAGTTCTTCTACAACATACATGTATTTCTTCTTTATTAACAACAGTTATTTTTATTTACAAAAAAGTCAATTAAAGGCGATATGGTAAACTGCTTAAAGTCCTATTAACTATGGTTTACCCAGCTCAGTGTCAGAGTGTGATTTTTACATATTTAAGTTATATGTGCTACAAAGAGATAGAATCAAACTCTGACATCCTTAAAAAATAAAATACTCAAAGTAATTAAGTAAATGAAAGTTTATAAAAATATATATATCTTTATAAAATTCAGTATGAAGGACACTTTTTATTATTTGAAAAATAATAGAAATAGTATAAAAAATACGAAGTGCATAGCTGCCTAGTGCAATTGGTCTCCTTTGCTATAGTCTTTTTTCCTATCTACACGGAACCCAAAATGTTTCATTTTCACTTGTCTGATCCATTACTACCATTTAACAACGTGTATAAGAGTTTCTTCTAAAGATAATAAAGACAATTTGTAAAATAACTATGCTTTCTTCATTTACAAGACAGAACTTTGGTAATATCAGAATATTTTATATCACACACACAATCATCGCACACCTACTGTTATCTATATCAAATCACACTTTCCAAATATACTGTTGAAATAAATAAAGAGATTAGGACACAGGGCAGTAACACCATTTCTTAAAGCAATCTTAAAGGAAACTAAATTAATATTCTATTCTATGATATACTCACTCAGGCTCTCAGAAGACTCAACTTTGTGTGAATTGCACAAGGCTGTTTTAAGATGCCAGCTGTTCAATAAAGACGTGAGTTTTACTTTGAGAGTAGAATAATTTTTAAACTGAAATATTACCCCCCACTCTTTTCAAAAATGAAATACAGCTCTCCTTTTATAATACAGCAAGACACACATAATTCCACTGGCAATTGCCAATTTAACTAAAAAGACCCTTCTTTTTTGTTTTGACCATTGATTTTTTGCTGGTAGTTAATAAGGTCTTGTTCCCTTTGCCAAACCACACATCGAATTTTCTCTTGGATTTTCTCGTAGAGGCTTCAAGATGAAGTCTGTAGGAAAGAAACAGAAAAAGAAACATTTGTACTGTTGAAAATGTGTGGCAGTTACAAAAAGTAACATGGGTTACTGCATATATACCCACCACCCTTCCCTTGCCAAACAAAACAAAATAATGAGATCTATAAAATTTATTTCTGGATCAATAAGCAAATAAAAGAGAGACAAAATCACTATATCATTTCTTTAGGCCATTACTTGTTATCCTATTATCTATTCTTAGACACTCAAGTGTAGAGACACTCATTTGGGAAGGGAAGAACTGAATATTATTTTAGATCTATGTCCCATGGTATATTTGCTTTGGGTTGATCAAAACGGTGAATTTAATATTCCAAGGAAGGTATCTGCCTGGGCAGGTACACACACACACACACACACACACACACACACACACACACGGAGTTATATTAGGCGTTTGAAAAAGCAAATAACTTCTACATCTACAACGGTAAACAGACTAACAGAGTGGTTCACTCATCATCAGTACCTTGCAGAGTTGCTGAAACATAATAGATACTCAAAAAACATCTGCTGAATAAATGGAAAAAAATTGTTTTTTGTCTCATACACTCTTTTGAGAATCTGCTAAAAACTACAGAGATCCACTTCAGAGAAAAAAAGACAAATGTATACATAATACTTTGCACAGTTTTAGGGATCTCATGCACCAAATGAAGTCTCAGAACCCTAAGTTAAACATCCTTGAAAAACAATTTTTTTTTTTTGGTGAGGAAGAGTAGCCCTGGGCTAACATCTGTTGCCAATCTTCTTTTTTTTCTGAGGAAGATTGGCCCTGGGTTAACACCCACGCCCATCTTCTTCTACTTTACATGTGGGACGCCTGCCACAGCATGGCTTGATAAGTGGTGTGTAGGTCCTCACCCAGGATCCGAACCCGTGAACCCCAGGGCCGCCGAAGTGAAGCGTGGGAAATTAACCACTACGCCACAGGGCCGGCCCCAAAAAACAATGTTTTTATGAACCCAAAAGCAGTGCTGTGTACTATACAACCTGCACATGAAAAAAAAATAAAACAATTTTAAGTAGGTAAGTGATCCTTAAGACTAACATGGTATTAATTTGTGTTATCTCAGTTTGAGCACTAGATCCTCAAACTAATGTGACAAAGAAATTATTCTAACACAAGTACACTGTGGAATCCAGCAGAGTTAGTTATTGGAACTATTCGAAGGACTTTATGATAAGGTGGCCTCATTGAAGTTACGATGTTTCTGTTAGCCTAAGGAATAAAAGTATAATTTATTCCATTTCGAGAATGAAGACTATATCTATATATTGTTCATCAACGGCTTGCTATGTTTTACTATGTTTTCTATGTTTAAAATCAGTTTCAAAACACTTAAGGATGGGGAAAACAAGTAAAAGATCTTTGGCAGAAAACTGTGAAACCTTATATTAAAAAACGGTAAAAACTGTTAGCTGTTCCAGCTTAATTAAAGAAATCCAGTGTAGAAGAAAGGGCTAGTCACACATTAGTAAAAGCTAAAGAAAAAACTTGGCTAAGATAGCAACTTTTCTCCCAGGTACCTATTTCCTCACAGGGAAGAGAAGACCAGGAGAACAGATGAGATTTATATACAGTGTACGATACTATAATGTCTGACTAAGAAATAATAAATATTAGGGACAGAAAGTGACACAGAAAAGGGCTGGTAGAGATAAAACTGGCCCAAAATATTTATTCTTCCCAAAAGATCTTAATATCAAAATCCATTGTAGCCATAAACAACTACAGTTGCTTGCAACTAGAGTTTGAACCCCAGAGTGCACTGGGAGGAAGGAAACTTCACTGGGTGAAGATTATAGCAAAGCCAAAAAGAAAAACAGAGCACACATCCGAACAGCAACAGAACAGAGGAAAAAACCCTAAGTCTTGTTGTAGCCAAATACCATAGAATAAGCAGGAACTTTGAAATCAGACAGAACTAAGTTTGAGTTCTAATTGAGTCACTTGCTAAATGTATGACCTTATGAACGTTATTTAAGCCTCAACTTCTTCACACTGAAAATGAGAATAATGGTACGTAACATCACTGGATTATCTGAAGAATTAAATGAGAATATATGCACAATATCAACACACATTCTAACTTATGCTTGGCACTCATTAATTGGTAGCTAATATCATTTAAAGTCTTTCACCTTCTATAACATTTCTACAGAATGTGATATTCAGCACTTATTCTATAATTATAATAACGATCTTATTTCACTGAGAAAGGGGGAAAATGCTTACTTCCATTGAGTGTATCTTTTTAGTCTCAACAATGAGTATCTGGAGAGGCTTTAATTATGAAGTCTAAGTCACCTGACAGAAACAATGCCTTTCAGTGACTACGTCTTTCATCAGTAGAAGACTAGAATTCCTAGCAATCATAATAAAATTTTAAGGGGGTATTTACATTTTTTGATACTCCAAATTCTATTAACAAGCTATTATCAAGTTGAGAATACAAAACATTAACTCACTTGCTGACTACATGTACACATATGTATGTAAGCAAATAAATACGTGTTATATTCATATTTAATTTCATCTAAAACTAAGATAAATCTAAACATGAGTTATCAAGCCTGAGGTATATGTCATGAAAACTATGTTATTAAATTACTTTTGCCTGTGAATGAGTATCTATAAGTAAATCTTCTATTTCTGGATCGCTGGATGGCTGATTCCAAGAAGTTAGCCTTAGTGAACTTCTGTGACTCTTGTCTTTCAGTGAAAAATCACAAGGATGCCTTCCATCAACCTTTGACATTTTTACGGAATACAAAATAGTTAAGGCAGGCACTATTTTCTTAGCAAAAAAACCCCCAAAACTATGCCTAAAAAAGCTTAAGAAAATTTTTATTACTCTGAAGTACTGAATTTTAATAATAATGATTACAATAATATTATCCATAAGGCATTTTTTCTGAGTATCTAAAATAGTTTATAAATAACATTGTATATTTTAATTTATAATGAAACTCAGCGGCAGGACAGAAAATATCACTCTCTCAGGCAGTCAAGGAAAATAAAAAGGAAAAAAGTGATACGGGAGGAGAAGGTTCTGGGAAGATGGTTGCAGCAGCAGTTTTTTAATTTCTCTGAATCCAGCATTAAAACAGAGACAACTAGATAGCAAAAGCAAAAATTCATCGTGTACAACGAAACTAAGTTTAACAGTATCCTCAGGAAACCCAAACTATAAGCACGTGAAGACAAACCACCTCAGCCATAAGACCTGCATGAGAGAAAGCAGAGACAAGCAGTGCGGTGCCTGAGCACAGGGGAACCCCAGAACAGCCCACAGGTATACAACGGGAAGCACAATAGATTAATGTGAGAACAGCGTCTGAAAGTGGGAGGGCTTCTGCCCAACCCAAGAGCAGGTGACTGAAGTGGTCCGCAGCAGTGTCTGAAGTGGCTAGAGCAGCCGGCCCTGTGACCTCTCCTGAGCAGCTAATGCTGCCTTCCAGGAGAGGGTCCCACACGTGGAGAGCTGCTGGAGTTAAACCAAAATCAGGTTTAACAGAGACATAGGGAAGAGAAAGCTCAGGTACAAGTGGCAGAAGAGTATATCTCATAAACCAAGTTTCCGTATTTTGAACATTACACAAAAAAACAGAAGAGAGAGCTCTGTAAACTTGGAAAAACTATCCTGAACCATGTATTCTTTTGAAAGTGCAGGAAAACTAATTTCACATGAAAATGAGCAACAGAAAAGTATCAAGATCAAATCCCAGACACCAGAAAGACTTGCTGAGATACAGAACAAAACTGTAATCTCTCACAATAAACTGAAAAACATTAAGAAAATGATTCAAAACAAGAAAGAACATCATACATCAAAATCAGAAAAACTCAAAGCTGAGGGGGAAAGCTCAGGAAAGAATTAGAAATAAAAGAAAAAAATTATAGACGTGAATACTAAATTATGAGAAACATAGCAATAAATACAACAGATTATGTCCAAAGAGAAATGGAAAGGTGAAAAAGAAAAAAACAATTTTAAATTAAAAAGAAATGAAGAACTAAAAGGAATTCATGAGCAGTGACAAAAACTGAAGCTAGGCAAAGAAGATCCAACATAGAGATAGCAGGAGCCCCTGAGGAAGAAATGCAAAGCAATGGGACAAAAATACTAAAAAGTAAAATTTAAGAAAAATTTCCTGAAATAAAATTTTTAAAACTATAATATAAGAAAACTTTCAAGAAACAAAAAAAACCTACATATTTGGGGCCAGCCCAGTGGTGTAGAGGTTAAGTTCCAATGCTCCACTCCAGTAGCTCAGGGTTTGCGGGTTTGCATCCCGGGCGTGGACCAACGCACCGCTTATCAAGCCGTGCTGTGGTGGCATCCCATGTACAAAATGGAGGAAGGTGGGCACAGATCTTAGCTCAAGGCTAATCTTCCTCAGCAAAAAGAGGAAGATTGGCAGTGGATGTTAGCTCAGGGTTGATCTTCCTCACCAAAAATAACAAAAACAAAAACAAACTACATATTGAAAGAACCCACTGTGTACCTATGTATATTTAATCAGAACTACCAATAATCAAGACATAACCTTCCTCCATTAAACACAGGCATGATTGAGCTTCTATCTTAATAGCAATCACAATAGATGTAAACTAACAGTACATCTACTAATAAAAAGAATTTGTTCTGACATTATTCTTTATCAGAATCTCATAATTATAAAACGAAATAAAAAAGGGATACAACCCAGGTCAGTAGAGAAGGTGAATGTTAACCTATGAAAGATTCTGAAACTAGGCCTCCAACAGACTCTACAGTATTCACAGTAGCTTTCTATACCAGGAAGCAAATGTAAGAAAAATAGTTTGGCTGGCTCCTTCACTTCTTAATCTGCTTCCCAGCCCCAACATCCTTGTTCCCCTAAATGGGGAAAAAAAGGGCTAAATCCAGTAGGCTTAGTATGATTTCCACCCACTCCCCAAAAATCCCACTCTGTTGTAGACATCTGATGTTATTTCAATAAGGGAAAAGCAAAAATGTTGATGTGTGGTTAAAATAATATCTTACTATAAATATGCTTCAATATTCAGGAAAAATAACAAGTTGTTCCTTTTCATGTATTGAAAGGTAGAAGTTGGGAAAAAATAAGGTCTTAGGCACCTGATACAGATTTCAGAAATAAAAGGCTGGGAATAGAAGCCAAATTTCACTAACACCACCCAACATATCTTTTCTTTAATGCCTTTCTTACAGCTAGTTCAACTATCAAAATAATGTAAAGAATTCCAATTAAGTAAACTTTATTAGGTTATCTAGGACATGACTATATAAAAACCTAACTGAGATACAGAACTTAAAAAGACCAATTCTTCTTATTTTTAAGCTACTGAGAAAAGGAGTTTAACTGTTGGAAATCCTACAAAGATGACCTTAGAACTGAAATGGAGTCCCTAATTCTCTAATATAAATATTAGCAACCACCTACTACCATGCTGAATTTATCATCTAGAAACTAAAATAATTTTTTAGTTAATTATTAGTTTTCACAAACTTTTAATCATGGAGTCATGTAATTTTGGACCTGGAAGATACTGAAGGTCAAATTTTCAAATTTATGCAATCATTTAATAGAGTCACATTGTCAAAGAACAGTTATCTTCTGATTACTATTTATCTCACACTACACATAGAGCAATAATTTTCAAAGCATTTGATTTTAATCAATTGTACCATCTAGAATAATACTAAATTCATGGTCTTTCTCCAATCATGCAAAAAGTTCACTGGGATATGCTCAGGACCATAAGCAACAATTACCCTTGTACCTGAGATATTCAGTATAACAGGAACAGAGCATGACCAATGACCGAACGAGAGACACATCACTTTGGCGGGTATTTCTAACAGAATGTGTTTTCACTTTCATTAAGCACATCAACTGCCATATGCTTAAAGCCAATATTAACTACATCTACAAAAGCAAGAGAATTTCTAGGCTACACAGTCAATAAAATGTAGAGGTAAAATTTAAGCTGACATTCCACACAATAAGCTAAATAGATGACTACATTCCCCTTTCTCTATCATTTAAAAAATCACTTTTCTCAGATCAGATTTATGACAAGCAAAGGAAACATAGCACACAGATAAAAAAGCAACCTTATATCAGAATTTATAACAGTTTAAAAAGTACAGCATTGTAGTATTAGAATCTGCAAATTGAACAAACTGACACCTTATGAAAATTCTACATATAATTAACACCTTGGTATTAGCGGCTACTTCTTCCTTGCTTCTCTTAGAACTGGAACAGCTCTCTTCAGAGCTGGGGAAACACCTCTTTTTGTTGGAATCACATGAAGGCTGGCATAACAGGCTGTTGTCACAATCTTTTTTCAGGATCTCAATTGCCATGAAGATAAGGTATGTGTCAATGTTTTCAGGAACAAACATTCTAATTAGTTTAGTTTTATTCATATCTGTAAAGGATGAAAAAATAAGATTTAAAAATAAATTACACAGAATATTTTAGAAAACCTATGAGCTGGATATAGTGAAATATTTTGTAGAAAAGGAGGAGGAAGGTGGCCAAAAAAAAGTTCCTCTTTCAAATGCTTATAGTCCTACAGAATGGAAATGGAGTAAAAGGACACGTCCCCCTCACTCCTGTATCACCTGCACTAACTGCCTCCAAGACCCAAAGACAAGTCAGTGCCTAATTATGTTTCAAACTATTGTGTGTGTGCGTGTGTGTGCGTGTGTGTGTGTGTGTGTGTGTGTGAGGAAGACTAGCCCTGAGCTAACATCTGTTGCCAATTCTCTTCTCTTTGCTGAGGAAGATTGGCCCTGGGCTAACATCCATGCCCATCTTCTTCTACTTTATATGTGGGACACCACCACAGTGTGGCTTGAGAAGTGGTGCGTATGTCTGCACCTGGGATCCAAACCTGTGAACCCCGGGCTGCTGAAGCGGAGCACTCGAACTTAACCACTATGCCACCAGGCTGGCGCTGTTTCAAACTATCTTTTGTGGCCTGCCCTAAAAATCAAAACCACCATTCACAGAATTGTTTCCAAAGGAATTATGCTTCAAATTCCTGATATCAATTACAAGTTAATTTTTTGAAAATAATTTATTCTTAAAATAGAAGCTAATCATACTTGTAAATAAGATGCTAATGAAAAGGATCCTTTCAATGGACATCACGGCATAACAAAACACATCAATTATTTAAAATGCATATTAACTAAGTGAGTTTTCTGGGAAAGATATATCTTATTTCCAGAATCAAGGAATTTTTAATTTTTGTAACTCAACAGAACTGATTCCGACTGTGTCAGTCTCTCCACACCTTTTATAGATGTGTAGCAATCTCCTACAGAACACTATGTATGTCTCAAGCCCTTTCTTCCAACATCACATTCATCTGCAATACTCTAGAGTGTGGTAAAACTAAGCAGTTAGAACCTATTCACTCATCTTCATGTAATTTATAAAACTGCTATCAAACATTTCTGACACTCAATTCAAATTCACAATCAGAAACCAAGTAATTTTATTTATTTATTTATTTATTTATTTATTTGGTGAGGAAGATCAGCCCTGAGCTAAGATCCATGCTAATCCTCCTCTCTTTGCTGAGGTAGACCGGCTCTGAGCTAACATCTATTGCCAATCCTCCTCCTTTTTTTCCCCCAAAGCCCCAGTAGATAGTTGTACATCATAGTTGCACATCCTCCTAGTTGCTGTATGTGGGACACGGCCTCAGCATGGCCAGAGAAGCGGTGCGTCGGTGCACGTCCGGGATCCGAACCCGGGCTGCCAGTAGCAGAAAGCACGTACTTAACCGCTAAGCCACGGGGCCAGCCCAAAAAACCAAGTATTTTTAAATGCCACCATGAAAAAGTGGTCTTTAGATTATTACAGTTTTCAGGTTTATATTCTCTTTTCTTCCAAAGACCTTATCATTGTTCTCCAGGACTTCCCCAAAAACTGCAGTTAAAAAAAAAACAGGAAGAGAAGGTTCCACAGCTAATAGAAACTAGAACAGTGGGATACCTAATTATTTAGCCTGTACTCTAAAGTTTTAAAATGTAAAACTGACGCTAATCAAAATCTTGGAAAGATAAGATTACCTCTAAATCTAATAAAATCAGCAATGTGACTATCATATCTATCAATCACACTAAAGCTTTATTTGTCCCTTGGTCATTACCATGGAAATTCCACCAATTTTACTACTTCATCATTTTTTAATGGCCCAAGAGTCTTCTTTTGCATGTGTCTATCAGAATTTACTTTGAGTTCCCTTTCATTTGTCTTCAATTTTTTTGGAAAAAAATCTTCTAAGGAACACTATATTATATGTATCTTTCCATATTTCTAGATTCCTAAAAGTGAGACTGCTAGTTCAAAGGCTAGACACATTTTATATTTTGATATATATTGCTAAACTACCTCTATAACTGTGCTGTCCAATACAATAACCCCTAACCACATGTAGCTACTGAGCACTTGAAATGTGGCTAGTGTGGCTATGGAACTCAATTCTTAATTTTAAGAATTCTAATTAATTTAAAATTAAACTGGAAAACTGATACTTGATTCAGTTATCAGAAAATTTTTAAGTATGTTTGGAACAAACTGGGTGTCTTCATCTACTTTATTCAATTGTAAATTTTATGAAAGCTAAACACAGATCAAGTATTTCAAATTAAAATTTAGCATCAGAATTGAAATATGCTGTGAATGTGAAATACATAACTGATTTCAAAGGCTTAGTTAAAAAAAATACATAAAATTATCTTATGAATAATTTTTATATTGATTATATATTGAAAGTGTTTTTAATACATTAGGTTAATTAAATTATATAATTAAAATTAATTGCATCTGTTTATTTTTACTTTTTTAATGTGGCTACAAGAAAATTTAAAATTGTATATGTGGCTCACATTATATTTCTTTTTGGATAGTGCTGCTCTAGAAAAACCATACAAATTTTCCCGCACTCTAGCCAACTAACACAATTTACATTGTATTAAATTCATTTTCTTCTTGTAGGTATTTAAATATTGGATAAATAAACTACACATCCTTAATTTCACCATACTGTAAATTTATAAACCAGTTTTTTGGGGAACATCCACACAATCTTAAACTATCACAGCATCATGGGCTAAAGGAATTATGTTGAAAAGAAAAAATAAGATACTTTATCCCATTTGAAACACTCTATTTCTAAAATTAGAATGTCTTCTTTTCACAAAATTATGATATATAAACATTTGCCTATGGTTTTAAACCACTGTTAATGATTTAATAAAAGTATAAAGTTATACTATAATTAGAATCTAATATCTAGATATAATTAGAAAATTCACATATTTACTTACACACTGCTATAAGTACCCTTTATATTTTTATCTTAAAGTCATCCTATAATAAGCATATGCAAATAAGTGGCATCTAGCTTTAAAGGTGCATCTTACTCTGTCCTAACTGTCCACGCAAACTAGTGCTGAACACATCTCCTGGAGAACGAAATCATGGACACTGGCTACACTCCTTCAGTGCCTCAAGAGAGATTGTGTTACCTTTACTTTTGTGGCAGGTCCCTTGGAAACCACTCTTGAGTTTCCAGTTACATGCACATAAAGAATGGGAGAATGAAATCATTCAAAATATTATCCAGGCACCTCATTAAATGTCTTGCTTAATTTATAATTAAGCATAGTTAGAATCTCAACTTCATAAAAGAAAAAGCTTAAAATTTTATAAACATGGAAAAACTAAAAGAATAAAAAGGTACAGGATTCCTTTAAATATTAAGTTACAAAGACAAAATTTAACAGCATGAAAATAGATATGATTTCTCAATTCACAAATACTCTATTTTTAGGTATAAGATTATGTATGCCATAATAAAATATAGAAAATTCTCATTCAGGATTGTGCCAAATTTAAATGCCAAACTTGTTCATTAAAACACTGAATTACGTGAAATGGCTCTAGTTAAATAAAAGATGAAAATAACATATCTGACTCATTAATGTAGCATGTATATCTTCATTTCTTATTATAATTTATAACTCAACAATGTTTTCTCCAGTAAGAGAACAAATACTATTTTATCAAGGAAAAGTAAGAATTCAAAAGTAAAATTTAACATAATAAATGACATCTTATAGACTATAAATGTACAATCAAAAGAAATAAAAGTTAGAGCTCATGGTTCTCACAATCTTAACTTTCTCAATTTTGGTTCTGGAAGTAAACTACAATAATTTACTTTTACATATTATATGCACAACCTATATACAGTGTATTGACAGAAAGATGAAATAAGTGTTTAATAAGTATATTTAAAAGTGTTCTCTATTGTTCTTTGGAATTTCAACTTAATATTTATCACTGAATGAAAATTCATTTGCTATACTCAGTGTACAGTGGTAAAGAAAAATGTTTTAACTAATGCTTTAGTCACTATTGATTACAAATATTTTTCTCATCTTCCTGATATATATTGAATAAGGCTGTGCAATTATCAAGAGAATTTTTCATTATATGTTCTGCTTGATTTTAGTATTTCTTAACTTAAAAAGTTATCTAACATCAGAAATTGAAATTGCTAAACTCAAAATAAGAGAGGGTTCTAGATATAGTAGAGAATATTTAAAGATACTAAATATATAAAGATAGTAAACTGATTATAATTAACTACATTTATTTTTCTCATCAATTAGAGGCTTATAAACCCAAATCCTGTATCAGGATTAGAAACTGCATTATTTCTTTCTTTTAAATAGTTGGCAGTACAACTTTACCATGATATAGTAAAAAGAAAAACGCTCAGTCACATTAGCCTTGACATGACATTAAAACAATCCGCAACTCTCTAGGCCTCAGATTCCTATTTCTGAAACAGGGTGGGAGCAGGAAAGTGAAAACTTAACGAATTCACCCAATTTCCTTTCCAAATCTAAAATTCTATAACTTTACAACTATATGATTTAGAAAGCAAATTAGCAGTACCTCGATTGTTCACCATAGCCAAATAAAATATACGTTGTCAGTACTTGGCTGAATAATAGAATCTTAAATCTTCCTCTACCATTTTCCCCTGCCAATAATGAACTGAAATTAGAACATCCATTTTATGTCATTCAAGAATATTTGCCCAAGAATTCTTTAGTACTTGAAAAGAGATAATTAAAACCTGCCTGAATTATTAATGTTTTATGTTTCTATAAAATACAGTTTTGAAACCTCCCTGCTTGTATACTTATTAACTTCATATTTTCTTAATTAGCTACTAAAAAGGGTAGAGTATAAAAGTAATCATATGTAGAGGGTATTTTTAAGAAGCCATAAGATTTTACCATCTACTTCTTCAATCATCATGATCATATTCACCACCAATGCCACCAGTGCCACCATCACCAGTTATGAAATACTTAGCAAGTGCCAGAGCATTCTGTACAGTATCTAATTATTTCTCACAATTCTGTAAGAAAGGCAATATTAGCCCTCCCTGTTTTAGAGATGAGGAAACTGAGGCTTAGGGAGATTGGGTACTTTGCCTAAGGTAACATAGCTCTGAAATGGTAGAACCAAGACCTGAAACAGGTCAGCTGTTACCAGAGCCTTTTCTCTTACTGACCAAGCTAACACCATCCGTCAGTCTTCAGGATTTAAGGAAGGCAGCCAAATGATAGCACACATGATTGTCAACAGGAAAAAAAAAAACAAAAAAAAAAACCTGCACGAATTCTTTCTGAGAATACTGTCTACTATCCAACAGCACATCAAAAGACACATATATCTCTAAGTCCTGAGAGATTATAATATATATATAAAGGAAAAAACAGTTCCAGAGTATTAAAATCAAGAAGACATCTGAGTCTTTGACTTTCTCTAAAATACTATTTCTATTTGCATTGGAGAAAGAGAGGTTTTATATAATCATAATTCTAATCCTACGAAGTAACTACTGTTTCCTTTCTCTGCCTTAATTTCTAGGAAAATGGCTGCTGCAGTTAGAAAGACTGGAATGTGACCAGGAAAAATGGCTAGCTTTCTCATAAGATGACTCACAGCTGAGTTATCTTGGATATTTTATCACAATCCAGGATTTGGCTCTGAGGTTTTCAGATTTAGAAATCTAACTTAACCTTAATAGATCTACATTAACCAAGTTCACAAAATGCCAATTCATTAATTTACAATTATGAATTCACAGTTATCACAAAGATAAGTATCCAGAGTAGCATGACTAGTGCATATTTTCCCTATAGACAGATCTACGTGGGAAATCAAATCATAACCAGAAAGGTAAGAAATGATATAGAAGCAGAAATAGTTGTTAAGGCATCTTCCTCAAATAAGATCTTGACATAACTTATCAACAGGCCCTTAATATACTTGAAGTCTCACTGGCCAGGATTAGAAATGGCATATTTCTTTCTTTTAAATAGTTGGCAGTAAGTACAACCTTTACATGCTATAGTAAAAAGAAAAACTTTAGTTCTCGGGAACTAACTGAGATGACCACTGCCCAAACTTGCCCCTGCATCTCTCCTGTGCTTTCACGGTTGATCAGTGCAAGAGATGGAGGCCTTCTTTCTTTAGACCTTCAGTCAAGTCTTGCTCAAGCCTAGAATTAATGCTGCCTTTTAAGGCGACTTCAATATCTTTGTTCCGATCAATTAAGTATAGTCCTGATGATGCTTCCAGAGAGTGATCTTATTTCTCTTATTTCCAAATTTTTGGGGGGAAGTGTATAGTTGTTCCCAAGCGGGAAAGAATTTGAGGTAATAAAAAATTAAAGTATTTGCACTGCAGCTTTGGTGATAAGGCTTTTTGTATGTCCATTGCCCTGTCCTAATAGTCTGAAAAAATTTATCAGGTTTATTGAGTTATAACACACCCAGTTTATATTTGTACATCTAGGGGGGAAAATCCTCTAATGTTCCTCATCTTTTACTTCTGTAAAAAAATGGATGATAATTAAAAATAGGCATATTAAAACAAATTCTGCAGGGCAAGCACAATTATACACATTTCCATGAGTATAAGTGAGGTTCTGCAGCAAAGAGACAAGAGGAAATCCTTCTACAAGGGACCTAGAGAACTTGGTCCATCCCTTCAACATCACAGAGACTGATACCACTGACTCTACTGATTAAAAAAGCTACTTATGTGAAATCAGTGACAAGGAATCAGAAAGATTTAGGGGAAAACTAGGAGTCCATAAGCTATGGGGAATGAATATGGAAAAAAATGTGTTTTTGAATTCAAGTGATAAGGTAGAAATTAGAAAGGATGAAAGTGCACTGTTTTGAGATGGGTGTGGAAGTTGTAATCCGAAGCTGAAAAGGAAAACAAGAATTGCTCGGATGCAGACTTTCCTGTGAGTGATAATGGGAAGAAAGACTGTTTTTCTAAAACAATAAAAAGCATTCCAAAAGTCAAGTTTTCATAGTTGCATAAAGGGTTAATGCTGTTAAAGTGAAGAACAGTGGATTGCTTGTTTACTTCATCTGGGTTCCATGACTCAAGTCATTAAGGCTGCAGAGGAGGGTCACCTGAGTTGATGGGAGGCTTTCGGATAACATCAGCAATAATCTTCTGAACCTCTGGAGTCAGGCCTGCTCGCTCCATATCGAGTGGGTAGCCAGCTCTCAGTGCTTGGAATAAGTGCATGCCAACTGCTGTGAGAGGCAGACTCTTGTTCTCGGCTATACTTTGCTAGAGAAATAGCACCAAAACATCCAGTGAGTTTTTAAAAGTTCCCACTGTACTGTATGGAAATAAAATGTCCAAAACCTTCAGGCAATAAATGTTCACTGAGAAATAAACAGTGGACTAAACCTTCACTCAAAATTTTCATTTTAACTATTTCTTTAAAACTACCCACATTATAGAACTCCACAGGTTCTACTTTTTATACTTATTATATTGAATAAAACAGTCACCCAGCTTTAGCTAAGAAATTAATCCTAGTCCCTCTGTAATTATTCATTTTAAAAACCTATTAGTGGCAGAGAGTAGTCATTCTATGTAAGTCTAATAGCTGCTGCAACATTTTGAAAATATAGTAAACTGTAATCCAATATTCTATATACTTGAAATAACACGTGGTACTTTAGTTACATGAATTTCCAAAAAGACAAACCCTAAAATGCTTAGTGATAACATAATCCAGATGCATTCTATAAAAGGTTCTTGAGAAGACTTTAATAGGTGTTTTAAATTGGCTCTAATAATAAAATAATAACTACAATTTGACAAGGGCTGTCATCATTTACCTAGTATTGAACTTGACACGAATTGTGTTAAATTTAGGACAGTGTTATATATTTATGTAGCTTTTTAAACAAATGAAGCTCCAAATCTATTTAAGATATGTATTATATAAAACATTCTTTTAAACACTCAAAAGTTTAGTCACTCAGTTCCAAATTATTTCATTACACTCTCTTTTAAAACATCTTGGAAATATGAATTTGGACTGTATTTTTGTGAATGTTGATACTTTTACAGAATAGAGCATTTAAAGCAATATTTGCATCCTTCAAAGGTAGGTTTTAAATTACTTTCATTAATTGTCTACGCTTTTCTACTAGATAGTGTGCACCATTTGTGCCTAATATCAGCGTTATTTGATACCAGGCATCAAATTACCTAAAACTAATTGTATTACTGCTCCTGATTAATTAGTCCTTAGGCATGTTTAATTTTGTGGTTAACTAGAAAGACCCTCTCAGACTCCTGGGAGGTACAGATAATTATACCACGATATTACACAATAATACACAACCAAAAAACAGCAAAAGGCATAAATGAAGATGATACCACTCTTCACATTTTTAACCATGAATATGTAACACAACACACGAACCCTATCATGGCTGAGTATTAGAATGCACTTTATTCAGAAAATTTGGAGGATACACCAAATTTTGGACCATAGAACAGGCACTGGACCATATAGCCTGTTCCAAATCAATTTAATGTCAGAGAGGATAGGAATTTAAACTTAGCTGGAAGCCTCATTCTGTCCCTATTCCATTAAGATATACTCTACATTTTGTATATTAAAAAAACCTTAAGGACTTATGCCAGAACAATGAAGAAACATTAAGTATGGCCATTTTTCACAGAGCATAGATTTTTTCAAAGAGCATCAGGTATGGTTAAAAAAAATAGAACAACACTAGAGGATATAGAGTAAAAAGCAAGTTCTAACGTCCTTCCAGAGATATTCTATGTATTTTTATATACATACTCAAGGATATGTGAATATATAAATATGCATATACAGACGGATACATTCTGAGAAATGCATTCTTAGGCAATTTCATCATTGTACAAACATCATAGAGTGTACTTACACAAACCTAGATGGTATAGCCTATTACACACCTAGGCTATTTAGCACTAATCTTATAGGTCCACCCTCATATATGCGGTCCATCGTTGACCTAAACATCATTATGCGCCGCATGTGTATACACATAAACATTTATATGCTTGTTTTTTACACTGCTCTGCATCTTCCTTTTTACTTAACAATATGCCTTGGAGATTATTTCTTATCACTACAAATAGTTTTTTAACTATTAATCCCACTAAAAAGATAGTCTTAAAATATGGCTGCTCTAATATCCCTAAGCTATAAATGTTTATCAGTACCTCTGATATGAGATAATCATAGTAAAACTATTCTTGCAGTTTTTACTTGACAGATGTAAGCTTAGCAGAAAAAGAAAATGACATTCTGCTCTAAAATTAAATATTAAATGAAACAATATAAAATATTGTAGGATCAGAAGAAATTTATCCCAAGTCACAACTTTGATACAGAAAAACTGATAAAATACATGTTTAGATAAATTTAAAAATTTCCTCTACTTGAAAGTAACACTTACCAAAGACATCTTCTTTTCCTGGAATAAAGAATATGTGATGGCCACAGATTGTGAAATCGAGCATGCTTCATTTTTCACCACTAGACTTTTCTTCTGTTCTTGAGGTTTTATACTTGGAAAGAGGTCTGTCTACAAAATTTTAAATGTATCACAAATGATCAATAATAATATCAATATAATGACAGAATATCAATATGATCATTAGGCATTAGGGTAAAAATAACACAAATAAAAGAAATAGTCTAAGAAACAGTCAAAAATTCCCTTTTTATGAGGACCTCAAAAAGAAGTCAGTTTTTTTTTTTTACATATTGACTTACAAACGTAAAAAGGGAATAAGTTTTTAATAAAATATTTGTAATAACAAACTTGGTTGTAGAACTAGAAACTCCTAGTCTTTCCTTTAGCTAATAATAGGGAATAAAAAATGAACTAAAATGTGGACCACTGCCTCTAAGTTAGTCCCCTAATCCCCTGGAAGTGAATATTGAATGAATGAATAAATAGAATTAGTATTCAAATTTATGTACTATGCCACAAATTCTGCTAATGTATCATAACTATACACATATAGCTAAAAAAGATACATACAAACCATGGCTCTAAACTTGAAGCACTATGTAAATTCTTAAATATGGTTCCTTAAGAGACATTTCAAAGAAAAAATGGGGTGGAGGATTGAAAAATAAGATTAATTAAGAAATACTAGAATTTTTTTAAAGCCTACAAAAAAGGTAAACGCCAAGTGATAGTTATAATAGAATTACATGACGTATGAGTCACACAGATATATGAATAGTTTCCCTCCAAAATGCCAACATTATCTTCCAAAACAAAAGAATCAATACTAGAAGTAAAAGAATTAAATCCAACAGAAGTTGGCTTTTTGTAACCCACACTAGTCCATTTCTAGCCTAAACAAAAAGTGAGTCTGTAGGTTAGTTCACAGATTCCTGGGACAACGGCAGACTGGGAACAGAGAAGCCAGACAACACCACGAGAAAGGTCTCCAGGTTGTTTCTAAGCACCCTTAGATTCTCAAGGAAGAATATTTTTTATTAAATGAAAATGAAGTGTTTCCACTTGAGACCTTAACACTGTCAAATTCAGCCTTAAATTTCTAGGGATGCTTAAAATCAAACTCCATTAGCCAGATTCCTCAGGATTATAGTGTACTCTATACTTGGAGACAACAATGAGACACCCCTACACCGAGGTCTTGGAAATGTTGACCACTGTCACTTATACTGCCAAATCCATAAAGATTTTAGGCTTTATGTAACAAAGTCATGATATCGTCTATAAATGTGTGACTAAAGGGTTTAGAAACATCCAACACACTTAGCAAAGTAATATGAGAGTAATAATCTCAAGAAGGTAGGCTAGAATGTGATTCTAATAAGCAAATATCGAATCAAATCATATTCTATATAGATAAACAGAACAGAGAGTAGTCAATCATGGAAATATATAAATAGGAAAGGCAGAAGGACAAAAGTAGGCAATGCCACGCCAAGCACCGCTCAGATGAGAAGACGTCTTGGCTAACTGGATTTGAATATTTTCTTGGCAAATAGTGCATGAGAATGCCTCAACCTGCCTTTGCTGCTGAGGAACTACTCAAGACACTATCAGAATTTCCCTCGTTATATGCCAAGCTTCCTAAACAACTTTTGGACAAGACAGCTTCCCTTATATCTTCTTCTATAGGAACACACTGGTTGGATCAAGTGAAACTTTCCAGTTGTATATCTCACTATAATGAACTTGAATTCCAATATTTACACTTATATTTATATACACACATACACAGATACATAAACCAAGTTCACAGAGAAGGATAATGCAAATCTACTCCCAAAAACACAACTACTCTATGACAAGACACATCAAACATTTAAGATTACCAGGGTGAGGACTAAACTCCTAGCCTAGACCACAGCAAATGCCACATATGAGTAGCCAGCTAGACTTCCCCAGAAAATATGTATTCTACCTTGATGCATGTTTACTAAAAACTGCAAAACACAGCTATTCTGAAGCTTTAAAATAGAAACAGAAACATATAACACCTGGCTGTTTCACTTAGGCATGTTATATGCTCAAAACATCAAATCCCCACCCCTAAGATTATTTGATTGGAATTATCTTTTGTGTTGATGTGAGAGTATAGCTCTGATATTCTTTCATATGAAAAGTGAAATCCCAAAAAGGTTTGGAAAACACTTTACTGCGTTGGGTCAGATAATTCAAATTCTAAAATTAGGCATCATATATATGACATGGAAAAAGTCAAACAAACATTTATATTTCTCACCAAAGCAGTAAACCAATACTCAGCTAATATAATTTTTGATTAAAATCCCTAAATGACAGGATATGGAAATAAAAAGTAAATTTCTTTACCAAAGAAAAGCTCATAAATATTTTCTCATATATCTATACATACAATAATGGACCACAAAGATAAAAAAGCTTATCAAAATGACACCAATATTATTCATCAAGGGACCAGGCTCTCTAACTTGTTTAATTAGTTTGTTACAGGTTTCATTATGACTACATTATGCTGTTTTAACCCACCTTTTAAGTGTCGTTTAAGGCTTTTCTAAGCAGCTGCCAAATATGACTTCATCTTTGGAGGGGGGTGGATATGTAAAAAAATTATAATTTTCATAAAATGTATTTCTATAAAATTATTTTAACATATTTTTCCTAAATGGCCATCTTAATGGGTTTAATATCCATGTCCTCATATTTGTAACTTTTGATTTATATTCTGACAGTATTTAAGTTTTACTTCAAAATTTTAAGTAAATATATTAAAAGCTTAATGAAAGCAGTAAATAACAAAACTGGTCTAAGTTTATTAATTTATTTCTTTAATAAATGGCTTGTATTTGCAGAATAATCCAGGTGTAATTCCTAACCACAGAAATTAGCAGTCATTTTCTCTACCCAGAAGGTTCAAAAAGATTTAATACCTATTATTTGGAGCATTTATCTTTTGCCCTCTTTCAATTTCGTCTCCTGAAGTGGGGTTTCATTATTAAATAATACCATGAATTCATGAAAGAAGGTACTACCATCAGTGTCCAAAGAGAGAAAACTTATTCAATTACCACTGGTTAAGTATGGTATTCTTCATCAAATTGTTAAGAAACTGTAACTTTATTTTCAAAATATCCAAATGAAATATGAGATATTTTCATATGATGCCTTGCATAAGAGTATGAAAAGAAAATTTTAACTCGCCAAAGATATTCTACATCAAAAGAGGGAAACGCTACATACAGAAAGCAGAAGAGTTTTCTACTTATAGTTAGAGAATGACTTTTCTGAAGTGGGATGGGCCTGTCCATAGCTTACAGGAGGTTCTTAGAAATAAAAACAATCCCTCAATACTGCCTTGCATATTTTTAACTCTTCCAACTTTTTATACACATCCCATATCTTTTATGTTTTTAATTCACCCGTTGTTTCTTTGATATGGGGAAGGAAAGTATCATTTTCATTGTGTAGGTCAGGAAATGGAGACTCCAAGACGTTAAAGAACATGTTTGGGTTCACTAGGTGAACTACGGCAGCATTAAAATTTTGATTTCCTGACTCCGAGTCCAGTAGTCTTTCCACCACCTCACTCCACCTCATCTGTGTCAGAGTACACATCACAGCGGAGTCTGCCTGTGGAGTTAAAGAAAGTAACCCAAAGGATCCTCGTGGAAATGGTCATTTATAATGGAGCTAGAAGTAATAAAAGGATATGAAGAAAATGCTATTAAGACTGAAGAGAATAACATAGAATCTACTTAATATCAAAAGGCAGCACGACTGGAAGGGGAGGGTAACTAGGGAATATGACAAACAATAAGAAAAACAAAGTGACTGGGATACCAACTGATATACCAACTAATAGCAAGCATAACTTTGCAGCGTTAACTTCTTTCTACATTTGAAAGTAAAAGTTAGAATTTATCAGCCTAAAATACAGCACTTATTCAAATTTAAAAACAAAATCTCTCAATAAAATAGAAATAAACATGAGCAGCCTAGACAACTACTTTAGTATCATCTTTAAAATTAGGTAATGAACATGTTTTTATAACTGATTTACTGTAGAAACAATCTGAATTCACTTTCTAAGTGTTCAGTGTAGAAATGAAAATAAAGGAAAAAAATGTTGCCTTTGGAGGGTGTTTTTGAAACGGTCAAAAAATACATATTCTCTCAGAGCTCCTGCAAACCATAGTATTTTACCTGAACACTACTTATTTGACAGAAATGCTTGATGATTTCCAACAGAGGGGCCAACATAGTAGCTTTGCCTTCAGAAACACCGTCAATCCTTTTCACATTTTCAACGGTAGTAGGTCTGCCACATTAAAAAAAGAAGTCAAGAAACCACTGAAACATTATCAATCCAGCAACACAGCTGATGTTCACCTTCATAGTGATGCTTAAAAAACATATATTTTTTCCAACAATCAAAAACAATGTATAACATAGGTAATCCTGTTTTATAATATCTTTCTTTGCTTTCTACCATTTAAAGATTCACTGTTTCAGTAATTTACGAATAAAAACACCACCACCACCATCACCACAAAAACACAGTATTAACTGGAACACAGGCCATTATCATAAAGAAACAGGCTAACACCTAATGTTCTACTCTAGTATTGATCATATTTTTTTTAATAGATATGAAAAGAAAAACTATGAGGCTCTGAGGACATCTAAGAGACTAAGAAACTCTCAGAAGAAAGTTCCACTCATAATTTACAAAGTGTTTACCTGTTACAGTAAACCTGCTTACTACTTTAGGCTTTTAACATATTTCTTATTGTGTCCAATATCCAAGAGGCTGTATGATGTGTTCTTTCTAAAAATCTGCCAATCTAATGATTACTCCTTTCCTTTAAATATCTTTTCTGAATATTAAAATGTGGTCTTAGAATATTTATTTATTTATTATTTTTTTGTGAGGAAAAGCGGCCCTGAGCTAACATCTCTGCCTATCTTCCTCTACTTTTGTATGTGGGTCGCCACCACAGAGAGGCTGACGAGTAGGGTAGGTCCGCACCCGGGATCTGAACTTGTGAACCCGGGATGCTGAGGTGGAGCGTGCTGAACTCAACCGCTATGTCACCAGGCTGGCCCCTAGAATATTTATTTTTTAATGAAATAATTATGATAAGATATAAGCACTATGTAATATTAGACAATTCTGCACTAAAGTAACATCTCTTGGATGAAATTTTCTGACAGGGGCCGGCCCAGTGGAGTAGTGGTTAAGTTCGGGCTTTCCACTTCGGCGGCCCAGGTTTGCAGGTTTGAATCCCAGGTGTGGACTGACAAAACACTCACCAAACCATGCTGTGGCGGAATCCCACATACAACCTAGAGGAAGATGGGCACGGATGTTAGCTCAGAACCAATCTTCCTCAGCAAAAGGAGGAGGATGGGCAACAGATGTTAGCTCAGGGCCAATCTTCCCCACCACAAAAAAAAAAAAAAAGGAAATTTAGTGACAATTTTTTTAAAGGAAGCAAAAAAGATGAACACAATTACCAGGCAACTATTCTTTGGAAATAATTTCTTCTAAATATTTATTTATTTATTTATTTTTGCTGAGGAAGATTAGCTCTGAGCTAACATCTGTGCCCATCTTCCTCTATTTTGTACACGGGATGCCACCAAAGCATAGCTTGATAAGCGGTGCGTAGGTCCGAGCCCAGGATCCGAACCCATGAACCCCAGGCCACCAAAGCGGAGCGGAGTGGTTAAGTTCTCACTTAAGTGAGAACTTAACCACTATACCATGGGGCCAGCCCCTCTTCTAAATATTTATTGACCACCTAGTATTTATTAGTTGTTGTGCTAGGTGCTTTGTAAGACACAAAGAGATGAGAAACATAATATCTTTATTCACAGAATTTAAAATCTAAAAGATATAACACATTTACACCAATAATAACAAAAATATATATAAATCATTGTGTGCTAAGTGCCACAAAAGCATTTTTAGAATCATCATTTAAAAGTCCTTTATAAATTTCAGCGAGAGGAATTACTTTGCTGATAAGAACATGTAAGACTTCAGGGAGAAAATAATAATAAAGCTAGATCTTGAAGGATTTCCTAACATGAGCTTTGGGGAATTGAGGCAACGACAAGGCTGAAGTAACACTGTAAATAAGCATACGGAGGTTGAAAAGAGGTCTTCAACAAATGATGAGCAATCCAGGTAAGATAAACCCATTCAAAATCCTGTGACTTAGATGGAAAAGTGGGTTTAAGTCCATAAATGGAGGCCCTTGAATTGTAAGCTAAAGAAGTTAAACAGTGGGAAACTAGTTAAGCAGAAGTACAACACGATAAAGAAAGATTAATTTGGTACTCATATATCAGATGACACAGAGAGAGAGACTGAGGAAAGACTGACTAGTTGAGAGCCTTTTACAATAGTCCAAGGGTAATGGCCTGAACTAAATGGTGTCACAGAAAAGAGGGATGGCATGGGCAGACATACAAGGAACATTTAAATAAAAAATCTAAAAATTATTTAAATAAGACGAAGAAGGGGATATATGTTAGAGGAGTGAAAATGATATCAGAGGTCTTAAACATGCATAACTGGGAACAAAAATAAGAAATTCAGAAAGAAGAGTTTCGGTATTTACATGAAATGCATGTATGGAAGGCTGGTGGATAATGAGCTAGATTTTATATACACTGGATCTGACTGCTGAAAACAGCCGGTTTTCATTCAGGTAGAAATGTGTGGAACTAAACCCCCGTGAAGAGATCATCGGCAACAGCATGGAGATTTGGGACTCACCTCACAGATGTGAAAGTTGGAGCCATAGGCATATTAACACTTAATGATATATTTCACAAATCTATTATGTTAGAAAAAAATAAGCTAGAACACATACAAAAATAGATGGTTTACCTTATTTTGGCCATATCCAACAGTATCTTATTTGTTGCCAGAATAGCTGGAGGAACATCCATTTTATTGGCGTGTTTCTGCCTAGTTTCTAACAATTTGCCATATAATACAGTCTGAACAAAAAAACAAAGAAACGACGCAACATTTTTTTAAACGTACTTGGAAAAATACAGCCCTTTGTTTTTAGAGCTTCAGACATTACATTTTCCCTTAGGATGAAAATAAACTGAACTCTATCTCAAACTCTTAGCTAAAGAACAATTTTTAAAATACTGGTGACAGAATTTCAGCATGCATAGAGTCATATCCTCTCATAAACTGTCTTTTTACAAAAGCCCTACCTGAGTCTCCTGCTCTTGCGCTGAAATAACAGGTTCTGAGGACTTGTAAGATTTCCTTGGTGATTTCACCATGACGCTAAAATATTTAAAAGAAAATAAATAATAAAAGCTTCTCTTTCTCCTAGTTCACTTCTTATTTCACTCCCAAAATGAGAATATGTTTCCAAGTCAATACTGACATTTATTCTTCGAAATACCAGCAAGGCAACTTGCTACTCACATGACAGCCTAGATTTTAAACATTTTGGATCAAACACATTCATTATAATGGTAAAGCTAAAAATTATAATTTGAGTTTATCACAAAATTGGTATACTTAAGAACAGTATTTGCCCCATCCTCGTCCTCAATCAAATGCTTTCAAAGAAAATACTCCTTATC